ATCGGGCTCCCTGCTCAGCGGGAAGCCTGCTTCTCCCTCTCCCACTCCCCCTGCTTGTGTTCCCTCTCTCGCTGTGTCTCTCTCTCTGCGTCAAAATAAATAAATCTTAAAAATATATATATAAAATAAAAAATAAATTAAAAAATTCACATTGAAAATATTATAGATTTCCAATTCAAAAGCAAAACTAAAGGTGATGAAAGCAGCTATTTCTTTGTATCGTTTCATGAAATGAGCTATACATTTAGACATAACATAGGAAAAGCGATTTCTAAACCTCAGAGTATAGGACATCTTAAGGGATTTTATATAAGAATGGAGCTTAGGAGAGCAAAACATATACAGCTTTCAGGCACTAGGACAGCAAAAATCTCTGGGCATCATGGCTTCTGCTTCTCTCACAACAAATGAAGAAATAACAGTCACCGTTTGGTTATAATCCAGCCTTATAAAATTTGGTATATATAAAAGGCTTTTCAAGTTTAGTGGAATATAACTTTATTGTAATAGAACCTTAAAACAAACTATTCGGCCAACTTCTGTCAGAATAAATTATGCTTTTAAATGTACTATTATTAACATTATAGTTTGTTTTTTTTTTGAAGAAAATCGGTTATATATAAAATGTTATCATGCTTCTAATTTTAGACTAGTATGGCATGTCAGAAGTACATAAAACAACTTCAGGTAATATAAAGACCATTGCTTTTAGGAGACGAAACTATTTGGAATCTACCTATGTGACTTTAGGCAAGTTATTTAAAATTTTCTAAGTCTTCACATCTTTAAAAGTGGAGCTAACAACGCTTTCTTCAAAAGGGTATTTGAAAGTGCTAGGCATGTAGCAGACTTTAATAAATATTATTTTCCTTCTTTACTTCATTTTTATTCTAAAATAGCAAACATTCCCTGATAGCACCAACGTTCTAAAAATCTTATTTTTCTTAAGTAAAAAAGAAACTAAAATTTAACTCAGAGGAACACTGGGTTCATATATTATTTCATGTACTTGTGTTTTAAATTCCACACTAGAACAAGATGATAGCAAATTCTGTGTTTAATGGGATACCTAAAAGAACTGACTCTGTAACCATGTTAACAGTCACATTTAAGATTCAGGGATCTAAAATTCAAGATGATTACTGAAAAAACAAAAAACAAACAAACAAACAAACAAAAAAGCACTGACATTCCGAAAAGCCATTTTTCCATAGACAAAATGCTGACATAGTTTTGACATCAATCTTTACTCCCTAAAAATTCGAATACAATTTCACACATAAGTTTCCATATATTTGAAATAATAAAAACCCTTACAAACCTAGCAAAGACACATCAGCAATTATGAAGTATCCCCCATCAGGAACTATGGGTTTTAGGCCAAGACTTTCAAGTAAATGTATCATCCGATCTCTTTTTACTTCTAACTCCTTTGGCAAAGAATTAAAGTAACACTCTGGGTCATCCATGCGCTTGATGTCAATCCAAAAAGCTTGAGCCAAGGCTTCCTGCATGTTAAGATCGAAACATGTGGAAAGGAAATACGGTAATGTTATTTATTGCTGAATTTATTGGTATAATAAAAATTGCCTGAGTCACATTGGCAAAAAAAAAAAAAAAAGGTTATTCAGGGAATTACAGTTGAATTCCTGTGAACTTATGTTAGACTGTATCAATTAATGGAGGAATCAGTTACATGTAAATGATTAAATCTAATGTGAAGAACTGAGAATGAGCCATGAAGATCCGAATTAAAGAAGAGGTATTGTATAAAGATGGCTTACTTGGAAATAAAAAGACATTAAGTTATTTTCCACTGAGGGGAGCTGTAGAATGACTTGCTAGATCTAAGTCTGAAAAATGACCAGAGAAATGATGAACTAGCCAGCCTTTTTCCATTACCTTGGAGGATGTAGTGGAAATGAAAGCTGACCCACTGTGTCACTCCCCATAGATATGCAATCATTCTAATCTGAATTCTAATCCCTGTTCTAATCATTTGTATCCCAGAAGTGTCTAAGTGCCACAGGGATTAGAAAAGAGTGTCCGGGGTATATGGAGTCACTTCTGTACCATTCCTCAAGAAAGCCAGAAGTGACAGGAGAGAAACTGGGAGAAGGGAAAAAAAAACAATGTTGTTAAAGGTCATGTAGATGTCTCAGGAGGCAACAGGTCAGGGAAAGGTAAACAAGTCTGAATCAGGACACACATAAAGAGCAAGGATCTGTACAGGCAGGAGGGCAGAAGATTGTTAGGTCAGTGTGAACTGAAACAACTTAAAAATACCGGTTTCTCAGAGCAAAGAAGGAAAGGTAAGCAAATAATCAAGAACCTGGAATAGTTGAGATAGCAGGGCAAAGTGGCCAAATTTTAAGGAAATTAATCAGAACCAAGAGGTATTAAGAATTAAAGGATAAAACATTCATTCAGTAAACATATACTAAATACTAATGTTAAATATTGGCTGATAAAACACTGGGGGTATAATGGTAAATGAGATAAACATGGTCCTTGCCTTTATGGAGATTCCAGTTGGTGTGTACTGGAGGGGGTATGTGGGAGGGTTGAGGAAACAAATACACGAAAAAGGCAAGATATAGTTTGGTCTGTTGGAAGAACTGAGTCTGGTGTGGCTCAATAGTAGCAAGAGAGCGTGGCAAGAGATGACATGGAGAGACAGAGAAGGGTAAGGTCACTGAAAAGACTGCATGCCAAAAGAAACCAGCAGGAAAAAAGAATTAATCATAATTTCCCAGTACTAACAAAATCTTGGATAAATAACGATCAAGCTGCATCAGCCTAGGAATCTGGGGTTCCCCTGGAAGCATGGGCCAGTTTCCAAACATGGCTGTCTGAGTGCATGGAAAAATCCAGGCACTTGGTTGAAATGGACGACCAGAGGGGTCAGGAAAAGATGTTCCAGATTCTTAGCTGCATCTTTCTTGTTCTCAGCAACTTATTCACTCCCCATAGCAGGAGATATTGCCCTAGAAAAGTCAAAGCTCAAGAGACATAATCATCTCTCCTAACTGTACTCTTATACTGGACTTCTCTCTTTTTTTCATGGCCCCACATGTGACCCAATGGCAAATGCTGTCAGCTCTGCCTTCAAAATATATTCAGAACCCAATCACGTTCCACCATTTTACCATCCCTGTATTGGTTCATTCAACTGCTGTCTCTCTCCTGGATCACTTCAACAGTCTTTTGACTCAATAAAGCAGCCAGGTCCCTTTGATAAGTTAGATCATGTCACCCTTGTGCTCAAACTCTCCAGTGGCTTCCTATCTCACTCAGCTTTTACAGTGATGAACATGGCCTATCTGATCTGGCTTCCGGCTACCCCTTGATTTATTTCCTCCTACTCTTGTCCTTTGATCATCCCATCCCCCTCTTGTGCTTTTCACAGATACAAACATGACAGCCAGACTGCCTACCCCAGGGCCTTTGCACTTGTTTTTCTCACAGTCTGGAAGGTTCTTCTCTAGGTAACCCATGTGACTACTTAAGCTTCAATTCATAGCTCAGCTGTCATTTTCTCAGGGAGGCTTTCAAAGATTACTCCACTTAACATTGTATACTCTCCCTCTTAGCACTTTATATCCTTCATCTTCCCTGCTTTATTTTTCTCTATTGCATCTATGAACACCTGACATATTATTAAAATATTTACTTCTTTATTAGCTGTGCCCCCACTAGGCCTTAAGCTCAAAAAGAGCTTTTCAGAAAGAAATTCCTGCTGTATCTCCAAACCTCAGTAAATATTTGCTGAATAAGTGAATGGATTTATTTTGAGTGGATAAAATGAATTTAATATTATATAAAACCAAAAGTCAAAACTAGAGTTTATTATGACACTGCTTTAGAGAGTCATTGGAGAAAGAACTTTAAAATAAAATTTTTTTTCTCATTCAGTAGATCTTTTTGACAGGAAGCAAAAAAGTAAATTTACTGTAGCCAATATATTTCACTCTTTTGGCTTTTTAACGGCCTTCCAGATAAAGAAAATTTTTTCAGTGTTCTGATTCACAGAATAATGATACATAGATCCCTGTTTTATAAATACATAGTTAAAAAAACAGAAACAATATAAAAAGATATACATTAAAAAGTCTTGCACTCACCTCGTCCCTATCTACTCATTTCACCTATTTCTCATACCCCTACAATTGGCACCTTTTTTTTTTTTAAATTTTATTTATTTATTTGACAGAGAGATAGCGAGAGCAGGAGCACAAGCAGGGGGAGTGGGAGAGGGAGAAGCAGGCTTCCCACGGGAGCCCCAATGCGGGGCATGGGGCTCGATCCCACGACCCTGGGATCACAACCTGAGCCGAAGGCAGATGCTTAATGACTGAGCCACCCAGGTGTCCCTATAATTGGCCACTTTTACTAGTTCCTTATGGATCCTTCCAGAGATCCTTTAAGAAAATACAAGCGAATGGTTTCCCCCTGTCTTTTACAGGATATAGCATAAATATACACTGCCCTGCATCTTGCTTTTTTCACTTCACAGTATATTCTGGAAATTTTTCCATATTGATCATTATAGAACTTCCTCATTCTTTTCCTTTCTTTTCATTTTTAAATAGTCATGGTGACAGACAGAATGGCCCCCAAAGGTGTCCAGGTCTTAAAACCCAGAACTTGTAGGGGCATCTTGGTGGCTCAGTCCTTCAGCTCAGGTCATGATCGCAGGGTCCTGGGATGAAGCCCTGCATCAGGCTCCCCACCCTTTGAACCTACCCCCTGCTTGTGCTCTTGTTCTCTCTCTCTCTCTCAAATGAATAAATTAAAAAATCTTAAAAAAAACCAAACCCAGAACCTGTAAACATGTTACCTTGCATGGTAAAATGAACTTCGCAAATGTGGTTTAAATTAAGGATCTTGAGATGAAGAGATTATCTTGGATTTTCTGTGGGCCTAATACAATCATAAAGATCCTTATAAGGGAAAGAAAGTAGCAGGAGAGTCAGAGTCATGTTAGAGTGATGTGACCATAAGCCAAGGAATGTGAGCAGTCCCTAGAAGATGGAAAAGACAAGGAACAAAGTCTCCCTTACAGCCTTCAGAAGGAATACCAGAATGCAGACACCCTGTTTTTAGCCATAAGACCCATTTCAGATTGTTGACCTCCAGAACTATAAGATAAAAAGATTTGTGTTGTTTTAAGCCACCAAGTTTGGGGCCATTTGTTACAGAGAAATAGGAAACTAATACAAAATTCATATAATATTTAAATGTTTAGAGAAACCATGGTTTGTTTAATTAATTCTAAAGATGGATAATGACTATCCCCTATCTTCTGCAATAAATGGCCATACACATACAGAGCTTCTTATGTGTACAGATAATAACTACGGGGTAAATTCCCAGAAGACGGATTGCTGCTTTGTAATGCACGCACATCTATAATTTTGCTTGGTGTTGTCACTCTCCTTCACAGAGTCTGTAGTACTTTGCAATCCCACCAGCAATGTATGAGTATTCAGAGTTAAAACTTGATGTATTTAAATAAACAGAAAAAAGCTGTTCTTGACAGTAATGAATATCTGTCTGCTCCTAAATTCCCAAACAATACTAGAGGCCTGGCTCAAAAAGGGCATCATGGGTAGAACTAAGCCAATGAATACACAGCCTAAAAATAACACCTTTGCCAAAAGACTTCAACCCTAAGTTACTATTAATACCTACCTGTAAAGGAGTCGCACAAGTATAAATGCTGTTTTGTTGAACCGTCTGTAAATGTTTTATCAAATGATCAGGACCAATGGACCAGCCAAGCTGGAAAAGGAAAAGATAAAAAGCAGATTTCAAAAAACAAATCTAATTGTATGTACCAAATCCGATAGAGTAGCTCAGCTTAATGTAATTATTAAATATATGCAACTCTAAAATGTTCATATTATGAAAGTAGTGCAGTATTAGTATTTACTCATCATTTCAACACTGTTCTTTTGTGAGAAAGTTTCCCACTGGAATCACTAAACTCTGCCTTCAGAAGGTAAACAGTACCCTTAGTCACTATTATCCTTTTCTTTTCTAATTTGCTACTTCTGATATTCTGAAGGTCTAAAAACTGGTAACAAAGGTTATCTGAATTAGGCAAAAGTAACTCTGAATGGGGGCCTAAGGGACTCTTCCATAAGCTGGTTCTGCAGGCCCCATTTTTAATACTCCCTGCTTCCTGGCCATGTTCAGGAGAGGCCAGTTGGAAGATGACCAAATTTCAACCGGGTAAATCGCTGTTGTATTACATAGTGCAGTGCTTAAGTACGTGGATTCTGAAGCTAGACTGCCTGCACTGGCTTGACTTTATTAGCAGTATAACCTCAGGCAACTTACTTCTCTGCACTAGTTTTATTGCCTGTAGAATGGGGATGATAAATTATACTCACCTCATAATGCCATTATGAGAATGAGCATGTGTAAGGCACTTAGAACCTGGCACATAGTAAGTGCCAAAATATTAGTTATTATATTATTTTCTTCCTCCTTTTATATTAATACACAATAATCTGAACATTTTTTGCAAAAAAAAAGAGTGCCATTAGTTCATGACTTATAAAATGAAAAATTACTTCTTTTTTCTGCCATTTACAATGACATGGATGGAGCCAGACGGTATCATGCTAAGCGAAATAAGTTAGTCAGAGAAAGACAAACACCATACGATTTCACTCCTCTGTGGAACTTAAGAAACAAAACAAATGAGCAAAGGAAAAAAAAGAGAGAGAGGGAGGCAAACCAAGAAACAGACTCTTAACTATATATAGAGAACAAATGGATGGTTACCAGAGGGGAGGTGGGTGGAGGAATGAGGGAAATAGGTGAGGATTAAGGTGGGCACTTGTGAGGAGCACTGGATTTGTGCTGAATAACTGCACTGCACACCTGAAACCAATAATACACTTTATGTTAACTAACTGGAATTTAAATAAAGACTTTAAAATAATAAAGAAACAATCAGGTCTCAAAAAGGATAAAGGCCAACATGAAAGCTGAATGAGTAAAAATAAAGAAAAGATCAGTAAGTATAAAAACCTGTGTAAACTGAAAAACATGCATTTAAAACACACATATACAGAAACTCTACGAGAAATAAAATACATGCTCATTTTCAAGCAATTTCGTTCTTCTGCACCTTACCTTCCAGCCAGTTACACTGAAAGTCTTTCCAGCACTTCCTATTGTTATTGTTCTCTCCCACATACCTGGAAAAGTAGCTAAATAGGAAAGAGAAAAGAAAAAGGTTAAGTAATTGCTTTCCAACCAATCTGTATGCAGTATAATCTAAAAACATAAAGGTAGTGGTCAGTGTATTTCAGTAGGTTTTTAAATATAATGTAACTCTAACCCAAACACAATTGAAAATGTTACAGTGCTTGAAAACACTGTCATATGTGATAGATTAAGTAATTTTAAGGAGCAAAATTACTTCCAGGGGCAGGAGTGTCAGTAGGCAGGGTTCCAGACAGGGGTTGCACAAGCATGGCACCCAGCGCTCAGTGTCAGTGGTAGCTGAACATTCAATATTCTCTTCCTGTGGCACCCTTTTGGTTGTGGTCTGGCTAGTGTTTACTCACATCTTCTCTGCCCATTTTGCGAGTCTATTTTTCCAGGCTTCCTAAGGCAATGGTTCTTAAAATGTGGTCCCCACACCAGCATAGCAGTCTCAGTGGGGAACTAGTCAGGAAGGCAAATTATTGGACTGCATCCCAGAGCTACTGAATCACAAACTCTGGGGGGAGGGTCCTGCAATCTGGGTGTGCATGCATGTGTGTGTGTGTGTGTTTTGCTAAAAACTTGGAGATATAAATCCCACACGATAAAATTCACTTCTTTAAACTGTCCAATTCGATGGTTTTTAGTATATCTGCAGAACTGTGTAACCAGTTTTAGAACATTTTTTCACCCCAAGAGAAGCCCATACCTTTTGGGTATCACCCCTTAATATAATTTCCATAGCCAAGAGCCATGGCCAGGAGCATTAGAGCTTGTGCCTGAATGGAGCTCATCTAACATACCTAGTCCCTCCATAATGCACACCATGGCCTTCCTGCCTTAGCCAGCACTTCAGCACTATGCAATCACCATGAAAAGGACACTTGTTTATAGTATGAGCTGAAGTAAGAAGGCAGAGTGTTGCCTTGTTGACCTCAACTGAGAACACGTGTATCAGGTGACTCTAATTTTTTGCCCCTTTCTGCATGTTTATGAATGTGAAGTGCCAAGAGTATTGGACTCTGGGGTTAAAAATCTATTTCAGTGAGTAGGTGATTCACAAATATGGATTCCACAAATAACGAGAAATGACTGCATAAATGTTCTCAAGTTGATTGATATCTTTAATAAAATCATTCATTCTTGTGAAATGAAATTCTATCAAACATTTATTAGCAATGACCAGGTGCCAGGGACTATGCTAGGTCTAGAGGAAACAAAGATGAGAAAGAAGCAGTTTCTGTCTTCAAGGAGTTTAATGTCTAGTGGGGGTAGGAGAAAAGTAAAACACAACCATAATACAGTGTGGTAAGTGCTGTAATCGCAACAGGCATGGAGTATCATGCAAGGACAGAAGAAGGTGTGAGGGGTAGCTTTCTGCAGCCAGTAATGCTTGAGCTGAGACTTGGAAGACCACATAGGCCTTTGCCAGTCAGAGAAGGCAAAGAAAGGTATTTGGGGTGAAGGGAATGGAGCTAACGAAGTCATGGGGGTATAGAATGTAAAAGCTTGTGAATTTTGCAGGACATTTGTAAACGATTCCCTTGTGAATCTCCTGAGAATGCTACCTACACTGTTCTTTGGATTCCTCAAGTAATTTAGTCGTGAAGTTCTTCACATGCAATCCCATGAGTTTTTCACTTGTTTGTAGAGGAACAGTAGATACTCTTCTATTGTTCTAAGAGTGTTGGTATACACAAAGAGAGAACAAACAGCCATTTCTGTGGGGTCTAAGCTACGGTTTTCTTCATCTTCTCATACTCAAGTAAAGTAGCTAACAAAATTTCCAAAATGAATTCATACATAATCTTAGTCCATTGTGAAACACCTGGCAATATTTGTAAAGGTAGGAAAACTACATAAACCGGAAAAGTTACAAGTGTATTCTCTGTGGAGTATAACAAAACCCAAAAAGATAAATGAAGAAAATATTTAGAGGGTCCATTAGAAGAAAGAATATTCTAACATTTAATATAAATATATCATATCCTTTCAAGTTTTGAGACATCTGTAGTCTTCCAAAGTAATCCAAAAGAATACCATGACACATGTCCCACTTTCCTATTTGACCAGAGAAAATCTAAACACTGTATAATGCAGAGTATCACCTCCTTTAAAATAATACTATAGGGGTGCCTGGGTGGCCCAGTCAGTTAAGCATCTAATTCTTGATTTTGGCTCAGGTCATGATCCCAGGGTGGTGAAATCGAGCCCTTCATTGGGTTCCATGCTGGATGTGGAGCCTGCTTAAGATTCTCTCTCCCTCTCCCTCTGCCCCCCCACCCCATGTGCACGTGCACACACATTCTCTCACAGTAAATAAATAAATAAATAAATAAATAAAGTTAATATATATCCCAAACCAGGAAGGTCTATTAGTAAGAACAATACTTAGAAAGAAATTCTTTGAAAATAAGAATCATCCAGAGAAATGAATACAACCTTAACATGTTTTCATGATAAGTTATATACAAAGGGAATCAAAACTACTCACATGTCAAACGTAGGAGGTTTTTTTCAGAAAATATCAATGTAATAGTTATAGGTATAATATGTTTTAAAAAGAGCTAAGTAATTTTGATGACTATTTTAGCCATTTAAAAGTGGATGTCTTTTTTTTCCAGCAGTAAACTGATCAGCTGAATAACTTACAAGGAATTTTATACTAATTAGCTAAATACTGAAAGATTCGTATATCAATATCAATGTATTAATTTATCTTTTTTCTACAAAGAGAGGTTTCTTTTGTTGACCGAAATGTCATTTTACAGGAATCTGGAGACATCATTTGAATCAAGAATCTGATCCAAGAACAAATTCTACTACTTCAATAAAAAGGGCCCTAAGGAATTTAAAAACATCTGGATGTTCATGTCCTCTCCAACTCAGAGCCACAGAAGTTAAAGTAAACAGTCAGAACAGAAGACCACAGCACTGTGTGTGAATCTACAGAAAAACAAAACAAAACAAAACAAACCCCAATCTTTGCAGGTCTGATCATTTAAAAAAACATATCTAGGGGCGCCTGGCTGGCTCAGGTGGTAGAGCATGCAACTCTTGATCTCGGAGTTAGGAGTTCAAGCTCCATGTTGGGTGTAGAGATTATTTAAAAACAAAAACAAAAACAAAAACAAAAACAAAAACAAAAAAACCTAGGGGCACCCAGCTGGCTCAGTTGGAAAAGCACGCAACTCTTGGTCTCGGGGTTGTGAGTTTGAGCCTCACAATGGGTGTAGAGATTACTTAAATGGATAAATAAATAAAAACTAAAAAAAAACAAAAACAAAAACAACCCAATATTGGTAAGTTAAGCTTGCATTTATATCTGAAAGGCAACTGGCCTTTGCACTTCTCATTTATGACCCATGCTCCGTAAATCAGCCGCAGCAGTTATATGAGTTATTCACAGGTGGTTTAGGCTTCAGTGGAAGTCAGATAAAGATGAGAAACACGAGGAAGTGTGCTACCCCAGGGAAAACCATCTCAGTGAAAGCATGAGGATGATGCTAATTCATGATGTATGGCTAGAAAGCCTTATTGTGTTATATTAAAGAGCTACTCTCACACTCTGCAAATTGATGAAATAGCCATTTTGCATCTTTTGCGTAACAAAGGCCACTGTATTTGATAGAATAGCTAAGTTTTCATGGAACCAAACTGTACTCTGTAAATAATGAAATAGTGAATTCATTTTTTTCTTGTTTATGGGCTGTTATAACAACTAAAAAATCTGAGTTAAAAATATATGTCTTGATATCTTTAGCAAGTAATATCTGCTACATTTTTTAAAAATTTATTTGAGAGAAAATGAGATAGAGAGAGAGCATGGGGGGAGAAGGGTCAGAGGGAGAAGCAGACTCCCTGCTGAGCAGGGAGCCTGATGCGGTACTCGATCCCAGGACTCCAGGATCATGACCTGAGCCAAAGGCAGTCGCTTAACCAACTGAGCCACCCAGGCACCCCTATCTGCTACATTTTTACTATGAGGGCTTATCATGTAACATGAGATTTAAACAATATAATAAAGGTTCAAACAACAAATCTCAAGATCATTTAAAGTTATGTATTGGAAAAATATTGTTAAACTGAGTTAACTAAAACTCTAAAGATTTGAGGCATTATTGCATAGACATGAACATATATTTTATGTTAAGTACAGAGGTATATTCATTAGAAAGATGCCTCTTCCTCTCTCTGCTTAATAATTAACACTTAATTATTATTAAAATAATTATGTGTCCATAGTGATCTGATTTTCAGCTGGAAATAGTTCAAATGGCCTGAAACAGAGATCATCAACAAGAAGGGTGAAGATGAACCCTAATGCAATTTTGACATGTAATAGCTTGCTGTGTCAAGGCACCAGCACACCTTGCAAATCTCTGGCTGTCTTCTTCTTTTATCTGTATTCCCTGAGAACATTCTCTTCCATGGATTCCACCATCAACAAAATTTTGATGACTGGCCAAACTGTTTCCCCTCATAATTTGATCCTGACTGTCAGGCTTGTATCCAGAATCTTCTCTTCTGTCTCACAGACACTGAAACTTAGCAAGACTATAAAGCATGAGAGGCAGGAATATTCCTTCCTCCCCAGGGATCTGCTCCTCCTCAGCACATCTCCACCTCTGCTTAAGAGCCTCATCACTGCTGATGGGGCCGGGCCAGAGATCTCAGAAGCATACTTGCTTGCTCTCTTCCCATCTTCAAATGCTATACCCGCCCCACCATTGTTTTGACTTCTAAATAGCCCACATGTGTCAACTCTACTGCTAGCCTATCTGACTCACTTCAGATCCTCACCTATAGCTGGTTCTTAGCTTTATAAAACAAATCCAATCATGTAACCAATTCCCTTGCCATGGCACACCTCTTGCAGTTCTCAAAGTATGCTCATTGGAACTTTGGCGATCAAATTAATGTGTATCTTTTTTTAAAAAATCAATTTTAAGTTTCCTTCCATGAAATTTTCTTATGCACTTAAAATAAGTACTACTGTTTATCTGACAGTGTATGTTACCAATGGTGAAACAAATGAACATTTAGTAAGTGAATACTAATGGCAAAATAAAAAAAAACTCTGATGGGCTTATTTCAATGGCTCTTTGTTACAAATATGCACAGAACTATGATTTTTATACTGACTTCTCTTTTTTTAAAGATTTATTTCCTATTTTAGAGAGAAAGAGAGAGACAGTGTGTGTGTGTGTGTGTGTGTGTGCACAAGCCGGGGTGGGGGGGCGGTCAGGGGCAGAGGGAGAGACTCTTCAAGCAGACTTCCCACTGAGCATGGAGCCCCATGCAGGGCTCCATCTCACAACCCTGAGATCATGACCTGAGCCAAAACTAAGAGTTGGATGCTCAACCCACTGAGCCACCCAGGTGCCCCTATTGACTTCTTCTAATATTAAATTTCTGTTAGGAAAACTGTTTCTTGTTTCAGGATGGAAGGCAATGTATCCCCATTTCATGATGTGAACTTTGCGGCTTTGAGGTGCTCTATAGTAAGGCTTTGAGTTTCAGAACCACTGACTTCCTCAACAAGTTTAAATTCTGTTCTCATATTCAAGGCTGTCAGAATTACCCTACTTTTCCATTATCATCATTGCCTGTTATATCCTTATAAACCACTTGCCCTAATCTTAAGTGTACTTGATCTATTATGCCTCCTTGCCTCAGTCCTCTTAGTTTATCTGGTATGAATTTTCCTTCTACCTCTCTGCTTAGCAAATTCCATCTTTTGCCCACTCCTCTGTTGATCCCCTCAAGCAGTTGCTTTGTCCTCTGTATTTCTACAATTTATAATGTACCATAGGGATAATTATGATATATGTAACAACTATTTATATGTAAGTGCCCTAATTTTCTATTTATTGATTTCTGCCACAGTGATTTTAGTTTTCCTTCCCTTATCCTTTTCATACCTTCTATTCATTTACTTATCAATTACGTTCTGATCATCTAGCATGTGCAAGATCCATCCTGGCAACTGGGGATTCAGAAGACACTAAAACAAACAAAAGTCCCTACATTCTAGCAGGTTAGAAGTAAACAATATAGGTCTTGATATTTATTATAAAGGAAAAAACAAAACAGAACAAGAAAAAAAAGCAAAGCAAATGCTGGAAGGAAAGCCTGTAACTGTCTTAAATGTGGCCATAAAAAGTGGTATCTGAATAAAGCTCTGGGGGAGGTGAGAGACTGAGCCATATAGCTATCTAGGGGGAAAAGAGTTTCCAGGACATTGGAAGGGGAAGTGCAAAGACCCAAAGTCTGCAGCCCAGCATATAATCTTATAGCTGATAGCAGTTTGAATAACTCCAGAAGACACCGAGACACTTACGAGACAGCCCAGTAGTAATGAAGAAATCCCAGGCAAAGATCAAGCAGCAATAACTTACTGGCCCTGCACTTTTCTCCTGTTGACTTGGCATTTTGGCAACTTGCTCAGCACAGACAGTCCAGCTTGGGAACAAGTAAGCTCCCCGTATCTTATGTACCAAGTAATAGATAGATTCTTGATAAAAAGCCAAGGGTATAGGCAAAAGTATGACTTCTCTGGTTTCATAGCTTTACAGTATGATCCAAAAATCTCTTCCCCTTAGTTTGTACTGCTTGTCCTTCAATTTGTTTATTCAGTCAAGCATCACTTATTCAAATCCCATTTAAGTGCTCATCCGGACAGATACCCATTGCAAGGACTATTTTAAAGATTTTAAAGCTGTTCTGGGATCCTTTCCCATCAGTTGTTCCACACGTGCCCAAACACATTTATATTTGTGACTCTATGTAATAATCAGTACCTATTTTTAAATGCTTATTTCCAGTATATACAAGCCATTCATAAACCTCATCACTGATGCAGAGTGTGTCATATTTGATGCAAAGGTCAGCAATTATTTGGAGTTCCTCTTTGTTATATACCTATATGTGTTAAAGAAAACAAAAGAGCAGAGCCAATTATGATTCAACACGTGAGAAAATGATAGGAGAGAAGACTGTATAAAGAGATCAAAGACTCACCTTGCCAATGGGGTTATGTGGAGTATTCAGTATAATAGCTTTGGTTTTAGAATTAAATTTACTTGCCAGTTCTTGAGGATCCAATGTCCAGTCAGAACTAGACCATTTTTTCCCATTGACAGGTTTCTAAGTATGAAGAATCAAAATGTGATTTAATTCAATTAATTCATGTTTGCTGTCTTACAAATAAATGCTTTACTGGGAATAAAATAGAGAAAGGTAAGGCAAAGGTAACTGAACAAATGACTAACAAAGAAAATAAGCAGAAATCACTAAGCCTTAAGAGCCCAAGAGGACTTGAGTCTCATGCTGACACCTATTAAATGGGAAAATAAACTCTTGTCAACATAAACAGCTGTTAAAGTGTCTATGTTCCTGCAAAGGAGCCAACTATAACGTTGGTTAGCAGGTCTGGTACTTTAGGGCTAATATAAGATTCTGTGATTCACCTTAGTGTACTTATTTTAGTAAGGTTTTTAAAAAGACAATGGTAGCACACTTTATTAAATTCCTAAAAATAAAAGCAAAATTTAAAAAAATTCACTTTATTCAGAATTCAACAAGCATTTATGGAGCACCCAGCATACATACCCTACACTGTTAGTCACTGGGGAGCAGTGCTATGAAAGTGAGTTAGAAATGGTCTCTGAGCTGGTGGTGCTCATGTTGGTGGGGGACACACATAACTACAAAAGATAACATGACATATAATGTGAATGCTGATACAACAGAGACACATGGCAAAAACAGAATAAACTAATAAAAGTTGTCCTCTTCAAGATGTTGGTTAACTTCAGCCATAGTAGAGATACACAGTAAATCCCAAAAAGTAATCAAAGTGGAAACTTCATCAGGGACAAAGCAATTCTGTATATTTTCAAAACATCTTAAAGCATGTGAATGGTGCTGGCAAACTTACAGATCTTAGCGGAATAAAAACAGGTGTTGCTCCAGCCATTCTCACCATAGGCTCATAACAGTCATAGAAAGGCATTATTATTATGACCTAAAATGAAACCAAATAAGAATTTAACATATCAATTATTCATTTGTTTAAAAAATACTGTGGGAGTCCAACCCAGAAGTCACAGATTTCATGAAGTGGAAAGGTTTTGGCAAAGATTTTAAAAGACTAGAATCTTTATATATTCAAAAGCTTTGGGGTATTGTTTTAACTATAAACAAGGGAGCCATAGTCTGGCAAGAGGTTTTTGATGATCACGCGAAGTTTCAGCCAGGCACAGTATTAAAAAACACTGTATCATATGATCTCACTGATATGAGGAATTCTTAATCTCAGGAAACAAACTGAGGGTTGATGGAGTGGTGGGGGGTGGGAGGGAGGGGGTGATTGGGTGATAGACATGGGGGAGGGTATGTGCTATGGTGAGTGCTGTGAATTGTGTAAGACTGTTGAATCACAGACCTATACCTCTGAAACAAGTAATACATTATATGTTAAAAAAAAAAAGAAGATAGGAGGAAGGGAAAAATTAAGGGGGGGAATCGGAGGGGGAGATGAACCATGAGAGACTACGGACTCTGAGACACAAACTGAGGGTTCTAGAGGGGAGGGCGGTGGGGGGGGATGGGTTAGCAAAAAAAAAAACTGTGTACCTACTACGTGTAAGGCACTATACTACATGCTGAGATGAGCAGTGAAAAAGCTGGCCTTCCATGCCTTCATGGAGCTAACAGCCATGTGGAAAAGACCTTAGAGATATACTTGTCCAGGAGTCCTTGGTCTCTTAATGAGATCTACAGAAGGGCTTGCAGTGGGGATGCTTGAAATTATATGTAAAACTTTACATGTGCCTAGGTAGGTTTTCCTGGGGGAAGAAGCCATAGGTCTCATCACATCCTCAAAGGAATGTTCCAGCCAAAACATTAAGAATTTCTTTAAATTTTAAGTTACAAAATAAAATATCAGAGAGGGGCAGAAGCCAAAGACTATAAGGGAAGATAACACAGCAATGCTCTCCATTATGGGTTACTACTTTACAAGTATTATCCTGAGAGTAAAGATGTTTCTCTCTGCTCAAAAGCACTCCAAAACAAAGACTGGATGCAGGGAGACTAGTTAAGATGCTACTTATATCTAGATTCAGTCTTTTTTCCTAGCCCCTTGAGATATATTCCTTGTTCCTTGGCCTCTACGTGCTCTCTCTCAATCACCTGTGGGCTGGCTTTTAAGTCAGTCAGTGGGCCAACCTATCCGGTTGGTATTCCATCCACAAACCACCAGCCTAAATCTAGCATCCTTTTACTTTTCTATAAGGAAAGTTTGAACACATAATTTATACCCATCATATATATTCAATTCTTATTTATGTGTATATATATAATATATAAATATATTTTAGAGAGAGAGCACACAAGTGCGGGGGGTGAGGGGTGGTGGGAGAGAGGGAGAGGGAGAGAGAGACTCTTAAGCAGGCTCCACGTCCAGCCTGACGCAGAGCTCAATCTTATAACCTTCAGATCATGACCTGAGCTGAAATCAAGAGTCAGACACTTAACCAACTGAGCCAGCCAGGTGCCCCTCTTTTTATCTTTTTAAACCTAGTAATATTTCATGAAAATTTCCTATTATTATAGTTTTAATATTTATTATCTTAATGGCTACTTGAGAGCCTTCTGAATTCTAGAATAGATTTTTTTTTATCATTTACTTGTATAAATAACAATGCTGGAGCGCCTGGGTGGCTCAGGTGGTTGAGCATCTGACTCTTGATTTCAGCTCAGGTCATGATCTTATGATCGTGGGACTGAGCCCCGTGATGGGCTCTGTCCTTAGGGAGGAGTTGGCTTGAGATTCTCTCTCCCTCTGCCCCTCCCCCCACTAGTTCCCATGTGTGTACGCTCTCTCTCTCTCTAAAATAAAGAAATCTTTAAAAATAAATAAATAAATAGCAATGTTATATTTGTGAGTATATGTAGTTTCTCTACTTTTAAATAGCTGAATAAATTCACATGATTGCTATTGCTAGATTAAAAGGTATAAACATTTTTTAAAAGATTTTATTTATTTATTTGATAGAGAGAAAGACACAGTGAGAGAGGGAACACAAGCAGGGGGAGTGGGAGAGGGAGGGGCAGGCTTTCTGTGGAGCAGGGAGCCCGATGTGGGGCTCGATCCCAGGACCCTGGGATCACGACCTGAGCCGAAGGCAGATGCTTAATGACTGAGCCACCCAGGCGCCCCTAAAAGGTATAAACATTTTTATGGCACCTTATACAGACAGCCAAATTGCTTTAGAAAAATTGAGTAACTATAATTTCACAAATCAACACTAAGTTGTCTCACTTAACTTTTGTTGGTTAGATTAGTGATACCTAATGGTTGTTCTAAATTTGCACTTTTTACTGTGTATTTCTTATGATGTGAAATACCTGCTCAAAGGCCTTTCTCACTAAAGTCATATAAGGGCCTTACATTCTAAAGCCCCTTTGTTTGTGCTAGTCATTCAATTCACACTGAGCACCTACTATACAGTCTACTATGTTAGGTGTTAGCTACTGTGAAGGGCAAAGAAATCAATCTTTGTTCATTCCCTTTGGGAAGGGATCTTTCCCTCAAGTGGACTGTAAGTTCCTAATTAGTCTGTGAAATTCTGAGAGACCAAGATGACCTATCTTTGAACCCTAGTGAGAAACACAGGTGCCTGCTTTGAAGTGAGAGCTCAATAAAGGAAAATAAATTGGGGAGGCAGGGAGGTAAAATTGAAAGAATATGCTTGACACTCTTTGCTGCAATTTCTTTATTTTTATGATGGGAATAATTCCTCTCTCTTTCTGAAGAGTATTTATTGAGTACTCAGTATTTTAAGGACTGGCCGTACAGCAATAAACTGGTTCTCCTGGAACTTATATTCTACTGAGAGAGACAAAAAAACAAGAAATCACGGAAATTAGATAATTTCAGATAGTAATAAATGCTATAAAGGAAAGACGTGTGTGGTTTCAAAATATCAGATACAGTGATCAGGGAAGAAAGAATAGAGAAAAGAAAGTCAAGAGCTGAGCCTTGGGATGCTCCAGCAGAACACAGAAGGAGGAAGCAACAAAGCATTAACAACATCAAAGAATGAGATAAAACTTTCAACTAGTTTATAGGATTAAAGGAGATTATGTATATGAAAATATACCTGTACTTCCTTAAGATGTTTCCTTAAGTAGTTTATTGTCTGGCATAGGAGAGGGAATTAGAGATGTATCAGAATAACATAATACAAAGTAAGAGCAGTATCTTTTATAGAAGAGGTATAGGGAAAGTGCCATGAGAGTTCAAAGAAAGGAATTAACAACATAGATCCGGGTAAATATTTATTCTTCAGACTTAAGCAATGCCTCTATGGAGTCTTCCAGGCCGTCACCACCATAACTTACACATTGTCCACCACTGACTGTCACACGCATTCCAATTCACCAGTTTGCGAGTATCTCCTCTACTAGACGGGGAACTCCTCCCACACAGAAACTGTCTTTTAAAAATCTCCCGTGGTGCCTAGCATAGGAGATCATCAGTGGTTTCTGAATGAATGAAGAGGTCAGGAAATACTGAAGCAGGGGTACTGGAAGGATGATGGGGACACAGGGGCAGAGCTGACTGAGTCTGGAGCCATGTGGGTCACAGTACTTAAGCAGAAATCACTCATCCTTCTTGTTACACATGGTGCTGTTAACAATGTTGGGCACAAAAACACACTGACCAAATACTCCCTGACTGAGTTCAGATAAGGGTAATTTTAGTCGTGCAAAATGAAAGACTCATTTTCCCCATCATTGCTAGCCCCTTCCACTTACCCTTATCTAAACAGGCTGTAAAAATAAGAATGAGTCACATGCCACAAAATAGATGAATCTCACGGACATAATGATAAATGAAAGAAGCCGTTCAAGAGTACATACTGTGTGATTCCATTTATATTAGGTTAAAGAGCAGGTAAAATGAGCCTATGGTGATACAAGACAGAAAAGTAGTTACCTCTGGAAGAATATAAACTAGGCAGGGGCAAAAGGGAGCTTTCTAGGTGCTAGAAATGTACTATATCTTCATCTGGTTTGTGGTTACATGGATACATATACACACATATATAAATATACACATGTAAACAATTTATAAAGCCGTATACTTATGATTTGTGAATTTTACTCATATGTACTATACTTCAAAAATTATTAAAAATAAAATGTAAAATAAATAAAAGATTCAGAGGCAGTACAAATGATAATAATTGATATAGGTAAGATGATAATGTTAATATACTTACTTCATCTCCCTCATCAATTAATCCTTGAATGGCATTAAAAAGAGAGCCATACGCTCCTACTGTCACAAGGATTTCTTTATTTGGATTGATTTGATTTTGATAAAATTTTTCATATAAGCAGGCTAGAGCTTTCACAAGTGATGGATGACCCTGTTGAATAAAAAAGAGGAAAAAAAATCTTGAATTTGATTATGGGATCTACTTCTTGGAGGTACTCTGGATCTAAAATGAAAGAATTTTTAAAATTTAGGTTTTATGTTTATAATTATCCAAGGAAAATTTGTATTTTTTAATGGAAATAAAAAAACATTTTTCACTACTTTCAGAGGATTCCTAAATGATCAGGAAAACTTGCTAATGACTAAGAAAAAAAAAAACCTAGTAAACAATTGGTTTTGGAATTTAAAAGTCCAATGTATTTGTTTTGATAAAAATTGGCTTCAGTACCAAATATATCTTTGACAGTACATTTTTTGACAGCAATCAAATCACATTCAATTATTTTTGACAGTAATTAAATTATATTGGATAGAGTTGGACTTTTTTCCCAGTTAAAATAAGAAAACCTGCATTGTCTATATATCCTGACTCTGTTCTTCCATGTTACCAAAGAGAAGGCTATTATGCCAACCAATGGATTATGGAGAGAGGGCAAAAACAAATTCCCCAAAGAAATGCACATTAATGCTCATGTGAGAGTTATGTTAGGAGGAAGTAGGACATTCTTCACCACATGAGAGCCAAGAGGGGAGGAGTCATCCAAGCAAACAACAACATTCACCAGAGGAATGAAGGGACTGTAAATGCACAAACTCTGAGACATGTAAGGAGTTTTTTTTTTTTTTTTAAGATTTTATTTATTTATTTGTCAGAGAGAGAGAGAGAGCGCAGGGAGGGGCAGAGGGAGAAGCAGGCTCCGCACTGAGCAAGGAGCCCGATGTGGGACTTGATCCCAGGACCCCAGGATCACGACCTGAACTGAAGGCAGACGCTTAACTGACGGAGCCACACAGGCATCCCTCTATGGATTCTTAACTCCTTCATTCGCTCTTTCTCGATTCTTCTCTTCTTCTATGTTCTCTGCACTTGCCTCCTTCTCTTTCTTTTCCTTCCCTTTTCCCCTCCTTGTCTTATTTGGTATTGAAGTCAGTATTTCTTATTGCTTATTTTTAACTAGCATGTAGCTCCTCTTTTTGCTTTTGGAGAACCACCTTGATTTTCTGTCAGTTGCAAGTGAGAGTCCAAGTGCAGGGCACCTAGGACTCTGGAGTAATAAACTGGGTCAGGATACAGGACAAGAGGGAGGCTGGTAGGATATACCCCAGGTTTATGAAGTAAAATAGCCTTTGGTCATTTTAAGTTATCCATCCGAGCTCATATGAAAAGGAGGCATTTTTTTTGTTTTTTGTTAAAGATACTTTTGTTGTCACCTTTGACAGAATGTTGGCTAGTATGTCACAGTCCCTCACCCAATTAAAATTAACAAAAACAAAGCTGTAGTATATTTTTCATATTTTGAAATTAGCAGATATTATAATATTAGAGAAACTGGGTATAATTACTAATGGGGGGTGACAGAACACAGCCAGTAAACTAAAAAATAATAGCAAGGGAAAAAGACTACTTAAATTCAAGCTCCAAAAAATATAAAGAATTTGTGAAAAGAGCAAGAGAAGATTGTCACCACTCCTGGAAATCCAAAATTTCCTTTGAATTTCATTTTAATAACAGGTCTAACAAATTCTAGCAACGGGTGATCTGAAAGCAACCATAAACACTACACATGTTTTCTCAGAATAATAATGGTCTGTGTTTTTTTAAAAATTTTAATTACAAAAATAATGCATTCTTCATATAATAATTAAAACTAGGCAAAGTTGTGTTAAAAAGAATTATGATCTCTCCTCAACAACACTTCCTTCACATCTCCCTGAGGTGACCAATGTCTTCCACAGCCTGATGACAGTGCAATACCATCCCCTGTGCTTATTCCAATATAAAAACACATATATACATATACTCACATATATTTACAAAAACTGGAAAATATTTAAAGAATGGGCATAGGCTACAGCAAAGGAAACAATCAACAAAACTAAAAGGCAATCTACAGAATGGGAGAAGATATTCGCAAATGACATATCAGATAAAGGGCTAGTATCTAGAATCTATAAAGAATGTATCAAACTCAATACACAAAAAACAAAAAATCCAGTCAAGAAATGGACATAAGGCATGAGCAGACATTTCTCCAAAGAAGACATACAGATGGCCAACAGACACATGAAAAAATGCTCAACATCACTCATCATCAGGGAAATACAAATCAAAACCACAATGTGATATCACCTCAACCTGTCAGAATGGCTAAAATTAACAAGTCAGGGAATGACAGATGTTGGCAAGGATGTGGAGAAAGGGGAACCCTCTTACACTGTTGGTGGGAATGCAAACTGGGGCAGCCACTCTGGAAAGCAGTATGGAGGTTCCACAAAGAGTTAAAAATAGAACTACCCGGGGCGCCTCGGTGGCTCAGTCAGTTAAACCTCTACCTTCAGTCAGGTCATGATCCCAGAGTCCTGGGATCGAGCCCTGTGTCAGGCTCTCTGCTCAGCGGGGAAACCTGATTTTACCTCTCCCTCTGCCTGATGCTCCCCCTGCTTGTGCTCCCTCTGTCAAAAAAATAAATAAAAACCTAAAAAAAAAAAAAA